TTTCACACAGAAGATGTACTTATTCTCTGTTATGCTAGAGGATGGGACCAGAATGAGCGTGTTAAAACTGAAAGAATGTCAGTCTATGGTTATAGGAGTTGTTAACTAGTGAGATTGGCTGCCACATAAAGCGTGAGTTCTCCTTCACTAGAGAGCTTCAAATAGCAGCTCTGTGGTCATCTCACAGAGATTTGTAGTGGATCCTGAACTGAGTAGCAGATTAGACTAAATATCCTCTAAAGCAGTGCTTCTCAACCTTGGGAACCTGAAGACGTGTGGACTTCAACTCCCAGAATTCCCCAGCCAACCATTCCCAAGGTTGAGAAACACTGTTCTAAAGTCTCTTCAACTGTATCTTTCTAAGTAAGTAAGTCCAGCATTTGGCATCAAACAGTGACCAAGCAGATGTATTGAGGAAGCTTGTAGCAGAAACAGGAAAGTAATAATGCTTTTGTGGTTGTTTAAGATATTCTGTCTGCGATTCAGGAATTATTGCAGCATTAATTCTCACTGTAATTGTTCAGTCTGCTTGTAAAATTGTCTCAATTGGCAGGTGCCACCCCTTTGATGGCAGTAAATTCCATAGTTTGTACCTTGTATAAAGACAATGAAATAGTCTGCAAATATTATATTTATTAAACTGGCATTTTTCCATGCATATATTACCAGCAGACTCCCGAAGCAATCTGCAAAACAGTATTGCATAAATCACATCAGTTCTGGCCTGAAAATATTAAATTCTCTTACCTATTTTTCTCAGCTGAAGTGACTTCTTGATATTTGTGATCTTGGAGTTGACATGAAAGCATAAATCATTTAAATCTGAAGAGATAGTATCACATTTTCTTGCTTTAAGAGGGGAGAAGGAAAAATAGATTAATGTTCAGTTTAAAGATTACAATAGCTAACATTCTCATTTTCATGCTTTTGTCAGGAAAACAAGTATTTTTATCCATTTGCAGTAGATACGGACATATTTAATATTGTAGGCAGAGGTGGCACAAAGACAGAAACAGCAAAAAAAAAAATGAATAAAAGTATTATAAAAATTAAAAGTATTATAATGGCACGTTTTACACAACATTTTCACACTTTTGTAAGAAATACAAGTATTTTTACAAATCTGTAATAGATACGGAAATATTTAATATCATATGACGAATGCAAAAACAAAGAAAGCATTCTTTAGTTGAGAATGAAAAACAATTAATCTCTTTACTTACAACCAGTAGAGTGGCTGTATTTTATTAAAAGAGAAGGTAGGCTTCATGGAATGGTTTTCCAAAAGAATCTCAGATAATTCCAAAAATGCTAAAAGGGAGGTAGGGTTCTGTACAAAATGAGAAACCAAGGAACAAAAATGTACCTCCAGGACTGGAAGTCTATCACGGGCTTTTTGTTCTTGTTTCCAGCAGCCTGGGGACACAAGAGCCAGTGGTCCTGGAGCAGGAAGCCCTACCAGTCTACTGGAGGTTGCTGAGAGATGTACTACCTGATGTCCTTCACAGGAGATTGCACTACAGTTCCTATCCTCTTAGCCAGCATAGGAGTTGTAGTCCCACTGATGCAGAGAATACTCATTTGGAAAGGCTGTAGTGGATGATCAATGGAGTAGAAACTGACAGGCTGACAGAAGGGAGAGTGTTTAACCTTGAAAAGAGAAGATTGAAGGCAGCATCCGATACCACTCTTCAGGCAGACTCTGGTTGAAGGTTAGGACAAACTTACTAACATTAGGAGCAGCTACGCATTGGAAGCAGTGACCCAGAGCCACACTGCATGTTCTGCTTCGAACCAATTTGTTCAGATCTCCAGAGAAGATAGCCAGCTTAGATGGGCTTTTTAGAATCTAATTTCTTCCTTTACAACAATTTTTAAGAGGGATCCCAATCTAGGGTCCACTACAGCAAGCCACCCAGAAGTCTTAAAATAAAATTAGAAAAATTAAAGCCATAAAGGAGGACCAGTGCAATGACAGAAACATATCAAGTGACAAGACGACACGTGGTACTTAGAGGCAATCATGCCTCAGTCATTCCTTTTCTTATTACTTTTATTTATCTATTTAATGGATGCGCAATTAGCAAAACAATCTTTAAAAAAATTCAAAAATTAGAAAAGGGACAACCCCAAACAGATTAAAAATACAAACTAGGAAAGAAATGGAAGAAGGAACAACAACAACAATATCTACCTTATATTTTATACTTGTCAATAGTCATGGGTTTACTACTGAATACAGTTCTATAATATAGCCACCCAGAGTTGTTGAGAGTCGGGCGGCATACGAGTTTAATATACTATCTACAAAATATTACTGTAAAATATCACACCATCTTTGCCCTAGTAGGGCAAAGGAAGCTCCCTTTGATTAACAGTAAATACTGCCTTTTCTAAAATGGATCACACGTTTCCAACAATCATTCCTTGACATCTGGAATAACATCCCATTTCCAATTTCTTGCCACCCCCCTCTGGGGCTTGATACATCCACAACTCCTGATAAACAATCAATGCCAGATCTTTGGTACTATATCGTTCAACATCACTTTAACATTTAAAGACCCAGCAGAAGCATTCCCACAAGATGCAAGATCTGGTGCTTGCTTATAGCCATGGTTTGTTTCTGGTGGCTTAGCCCAAAGTTTCTCAAGCTGGGCAACTTGCAGATGGGTGGACTGCAGGCTGGCTGGGGGATTCTGGGAGTTGAAGTCCACCCATCTTCAACTTGCCCAGATTGAGAAACTTTGGGCTAAGCCTATTGAGGGAACTCGGCTGCTGGGTGGGTTAATGCTCTGAGGCTCTGCATGAACCCAGAAAATGGCTAACCCCAATAACCAGGTTCAGCACGTGTGAATGCAGACAGAGAAAAGGATGGGAGAAACATTAATATTATATCACTAATTAATATTCTGTATAATAATAATGTGATTTAATATATAACAATAATGTGATATAATATAACGTATTAATGTAATAATATAAAATATAGTTATTACGCAATATAATATAATAAATATGATATTTATTTAATATATTTAATATATTTATTTAATATATTTAATATTATAATATTAAAGAGAAAGTCAGAAGGGCGTCACGGTCTCACCGTCAGCATCACCGGGCCGCGCGAATGCCGCCTTGTCCTCTTCCATATCGACGATCCGCATCTACACGAACCGAGCGTCTCCTTCCAGCGGCGACTCGTTCGCATTCAAACGACCCCGCTCAAGCGGTTGGGCATCGCAAATCGCGCGAGAGCTCGGTCATCTCGCCGCTGGGCGCGCCGGCGCGTTCCGAACCTCGGAAGTGGTGACGGATTCCGCCATAGATGAAAAATATAGAGCGGCACACGAGTGTTGGGAGGTAGAAATTATAGAGTCGCGCAGCATCGTCACACTTCGGGGGAAAAGTGGATTGTAACGTTGGAAAGGAACGGGGCTGGTTTGGGCCTCATTGAGGAATGGGGATTCTGGAAGTTGTACCAGTTATCTGAGGGGAGACTTGTTTGGAAGATAAGTCCCTTTGAACTAAGGGAAATAATTCAGAAGCCCCCCCCCCCCGGCTTCTGAATTGACAGGCATGGGGAACTCCATCATTAGGGTGGTCTTTAAAGTTTGGCTCGGATGAAGTTTTTCCTCCTGAATGTTCGGACACTCGGGGATAGGACTGCCAGATCTGAGCTGCAAACATCTAAACCGGTGTTTCTCAATCTCAGCAACTTTTAAAATATATGGACTTCAACTCCCAGAGTTCCTCAGCCAACCATGACAGAAAGAAGAGAAAAGTCTCCAAAAGCCAAACCTGCATCCAAAAATATGTCTATCATTGTGGTCTATGAATTCTTTAGCCCAGGTTCTGGCACTCTAGGCGCTGATTCCTCTATGGTCAAGACCTTGAGTGCCTGAAGTGGGATGGGAGTACTATCATGGCAGGAATTCTGACCAAAGAGATGTTACGGGCAAGAGCGGCATCACTCCACCGGAAGTTCGAGTGGTGGAACCTCTGTTCCTATTCAGCCTCACGATGGAGCGGTAGCCGAATGGAAGCCTGAAGTGAGGGGCGAGACTGGGAACTCAACACTTCCGGTATTCAAGCGAAGGGAGAGCCGAAGTCTAGCGGTAGCGATCTTTTGCTCGCAACCGCAGCTTCCGAGTTATTTGGGAAAGCTTAGCCAAACCATTCAGAGTGGTTCTTAGCCGTAAACTGGGTTTACCCAACACTCTTAACCAGGTCAAAAAGTCAAGTCTTGCATTCACACAACATACTTAGTTCGTTTTAACCAAGTCTTTGTGTTCTTTGTGCCTTTGCAAGTCATTGAATATTTTGTAGTTTGATGTACTGTGCTAAGCTACATAAAAGTTGGTTCAATCACGGGTTGTGTGAATGCAACCCTAGGAAACAAATGAGAAGATCCAGGAATTTTCTATAGTAAGTGGACAGTCCGGCTTCTCAGTCCTCACCTAGGGATGTTCCTGGCAGAGCTTGGCTGGATTCCGAAGCTCACCAGGGTTGGGCCTGACTGGCACTGGGATGGGAGACCACCAAGCGATTCCAGGGCTCAAGGCTAGACTGGGACATTAAAAAAAAAAATTCAAGAAGGCAGCAATTAGCATAGTACTTCCATACTGCTCCATACTGCCAACCCCATGAAAGTGTCAGTGGAGCCATGAGGACCCGCGTTCATCTTGGAGACTTTCTCTATTGTGTGTGGTGTTGTAGAAAAGTCATTGAATATTTTACATTCCATGTATGGTAGGAACCCAGAAAATGGATGGGGAAAAGAATAATAATCCCAGAACAGGGCAGGGGCAAAGCACTTCCACATTGTCCACGTTGCCTGTGAAGTCACCAGAAGTCAAGCTTAACCAAAATAACTTAGTGTTCTTGTGCGATACGTAACTATTTTCCCCTCTGGCTTTTCCAGCATGATCCCCTAATTCTCACAGGACGTTTCAATTGTCCTCTGCCACTTTCAAATGAAATAAAAGACTGCATGCTTGTTTTTGAAATATTTTATTTATGGTTTAAGGAGCGTCCTTATGTAATCTAAATAGTCATTTATACTCAAGAAATTAATGAGAAATGTTTTGAAAAAACAAATCTGTTGCTTCTTTTTTTCAGCAACGCCTATGCTAAGTTGCTTCTCAACTTAGGAAGGAAGTCAGCAAGGAAAAGTCAGAACATAAAGAAGATGTTTGATCATATCCTGGTAAGTCAACATCCTTCATCTGGAGACACTGTTTTTAATGCCGTCTAACAGTGCAGAATAAAATCAAGCTCCAGCTGCTACTGAAATTAAAGTAGCATCACGTGTTTGATATATTTCCAGGCACACCCTGAAATTTTACTCACCTGCGGCGTGTACTGGATTACTGGACCAAGAATAGACTCAAGTCAAACTGGAGCATCCATTGAATAAAGACTAATAATATCAGCCACATATCCCTAGATCAGCCTTATCCAACCTGGTGCCTCCGGAGTACATAACTACTACGTGAAGATACGGCTGGGATTAAGCAATCAATCCATCACTTCTGAAGTGTTCCTGCAACTCTGCTTTAGTTCTATAGCTCAACAGATTTGTAGCTGGGGACTGTAGTTAATTTTGGCAGAGTAGAACTAAGGATGCAGTGATAACAGGAGTAGGCATACTTTTTTCAGGTGTGAGGCTCTGACAGATATTTAGAGCAGATTATCTTTCTCTGCTTAAAGTCTGAAGCCCATTTTAGGGGTTATGCTACAACTTTATTGGGCTTCCCTATATGAATTGTCAATTTGGGGAACCTGTGCCGCCAGAATTCAATCTTAGACCTCAAGAGCTAAAAAAAGGGAAGCCAGGAACCTGTAGGCAGCTCTGGACTACCCAACTCTTGATCAAAAGAATTCACAGTGTCAGAAATTTAATGGATGGCGATATTCACTTGGAAATGCTGAAAACTCCCAGATGAAGTTTGCATATGTCCAAACCCGCAAGTTATTCCAGAAAATGCCAGTAACTATAGTAAAAGCAATTGTCGGCCTTTATACCTGCAGTTTTTCTTGGGAGAAGAATCCAGCTTACATCCAAGCCAACCTCTGTTCTCGAGATTTACCTCGGAGTGGAATTCAAAATGTCTAATGTTGAGTCACCTCCACTAGATTTCAGAGGTTTGCTATAAACATATAGCCCTTTATTATATACCAGTGGACCAGCCAATCAGGGAAGGGGAAAAAAAGCACCTTGTGTGAAAAATAATTTTTAAAGTATATTCAAAGATAGATTCACAAATTGCACGAAACACTGGAATCGCCCACCTTGGTCTGTCTTTTCTGGGGAATGTCTCCACCTGCTGTTAAGAAAAGTACCCCTTAATTTCAGCTGCATCAGAGAAATCTCAGGGCTATAAGGATGTTAATGCCAACTCATTTCACATTTAATACAACTTCTGAAAGCCAGTGTAATCTCCCTCAGGACTGCATAAAAAGTAGGCTCATGCTTTCTACTCAAGACATTTTTTTACGTCCATTTTTGTTCATGGAAATCCCAAAAGGGAAAGTCCTCCATTTTTCGGTCAGGCAAACACTCCTGAGTTCAGGGGCTGATAACCGCTGTTTTCTTTCTTGCAGGCCAAGAAGCAGATGCCAACCATTCCAAACAACTGAAATGAAGAAAACTGCAATTAATCTTTCAGGCTACATACTTAGCATCCTTTATAGGATTTACAGTTTGAAACTGAATTGTTCTCCTCCTAGATATGAATATCTGGCCACTTAACAATCTCTCCACAACTATTCATTTTCATTTCTCAGTGTCTGTCAAGTTCAGTTTTCCCCTCCTTAGGGTCTTCCAGATGTTCTGGATGTAGATGTTACATGCTATATCCATCCCAGTTAGGCAGTCCTTGGCCATGGCAGCTGGTGACTACGAAGGTTGGAGTCCAACACATCAAGTGGGGAACCCACTGGAGAGTACCAAGGGAGTTAGAGGTCAGGGCTAAACAACCTGGTGCTCTCCAGATGTTTGGGGCTTCATAATAACCCAACAGAAGAGGTTGTACCATGGAAGTGCTCAGTGGGATTCATAGACCAGAGTGTCTGGAGGGCACCAGGTTGCCTACCCCTTCTTTGGAATCAACGGAGAGGCACTAAATCGCACTGCAAAATATTGTTCGGTCATTTCTTCACTTGCTTGCAGATGGTGCTATTGCCCCGCTCTGCTTTAAGACAGGTTGTGGTTAACATCAGAACAAAGTTGAGAACACCCCAGTAGTGGATTTGACTCCATAATTTGCTTGGCTTTGACTTATTACATTGTGTAGTTTCTAACCATGGTTTGCAGCCTGATGTACTGTTTGGATACAGCCAACTACAGTTTATCCAACAACCAGGGCTAAGCAAGCCATAGATACATGTAGTGTGGCATGATTTGTAAATCATGGTTTATAGTGTGAATACCGCATGAACCCTGTGCCTCTGGCTTTTTCAAGAAACCCCGACTATCCCTGGCTCATGGCCGTGTGTAAATACTCCTCGTGGAAGAGCCAAGCAAAGAATTAATCAACGTTCCAATGCGGCCTGGAAAGGCACCTTCTAGGTTGGAAAAGGCAGAGGTGGAAATATTTGAAGTGCGTGGAGGGGGTAAAAGAACCCTATTAGAGGTCTTGGAGTGGTTCACTTCATAGGGAGTGTGGAGCCTGGTCTTTTCAAAAGTGCAAATGAAAAGACAAACATCTTTAAAATCAGAATAACACTAGAAGAGATTGGCAGGATCAGACCAACGTTTATCTAGTGACCATCTGTGAAAGCTCTGGGGTGCAGGAAGCCTCCAGAACCACCAACATTTGATGGGAAACAGGCAATTTTTGGTGATGTTGTTTTTCCCTTTTTTTTTCCCCCCTTCAAATTCAGGATGGGAACGGAAATAGGAGGCATTTGGGAAGGTGGATTGGAACCATGTGGGCAGTCTGTCATGTGGACATTTCTGTCCAATCCCCAGATGCCCTTGTTAAACTATATCAGGTAACTATGTTTACATAAATCCAAGATACAGACGGAGAAAAAAAATCAAAAAGGAAAAGTATAGAAAATACAATGGAGATCTATTGCAATGTGAATAAAGAGACAGGCACTATACGTGTGAAAATTTGCCATATTCATATAAAATATACCAGATTATAGTCTATTGCTAGTGATGGAATGGGGGATTTTGGAATAAAGAAGTATGAGGTAGAGTCCCAGAATTGTCCTTCACTAGTTGCTGAGTGGATAATGAAGTTGCAAATTGGGTATGAATTGCTTTCACTTTGCGTTCTGTGAGTGGTAGAGCAGCATTTCTCAACCTTAGCAACTTTCAGATGTGTGGACTTCAACACTCAGAATTCCCCAGCTAGCATAATCTTTTGTAAGTAACTTATCTGACCCTGGTTAGGAAAACAGATGCTAGAGTTAAGGTTTTATTATCAAAGCCCCCTTCTATAAATAAATATCTTCCTTCCCTATCTATCAGAAATCGTTGGAACCTTCAAATTTATGCCAGCTTTGGAAAGAATAGCTACTCCCCTTGATTTTTTAGATCCTTGTGCAAAAAAATCATTTATCAAAGTACCTATCATTCAGCCAATTGGTTGTATATGTTTCTTGTAACATAACCACATGAGGTTTAAATGATCTGACATAATTAACAATCCTCTTCCTCTTAGTAGGACCTCCCAGAGGTCTAACATTTAAAGAAATAATTTTACATTGTTCTCCCATTACCTACATTTTTTAGAATGGCTCTATCTAATTTCTCTATACCAGTGTTTCTCAACCCTGGCAGCTTGAAGATGTGTGGATTTCAACTCCCAGAATTCCCCAGCCAGTTATGCTGGCTGGGGATTTCTGGGAGTTGAAGTCCACACATCTTCAAGCTGCCAGGGTTGAGAAACACTGCTCTATACAGTTAAGATTATCTCGCAGCCAAAAAGTTATTGAAAGCTTATTACTCCAAAATCTATCAAATAATTGCTTGATATTAGAGAAAACATGTATAATATTCTTTCCCCGGCATTAATACCCTCCACCCTTGTCCCTCCCTGATCCCATTCCCCACTCTCTAGCATGCCTCCAGATCTAACCTCCTTACCCTCCAACCCCTAGGTCCTCTTTGACCAATAACCCAACTGAAAAGATGTTCAAACTTGGCAACCACATACCTTCACAATGGCAAAAGCCAGGACAACGAGCAGAGCGTAGTTGAGGAGGCTGTTGAGCACCAATTCCACTACCACTTCACAGCCCTGCAGCAAGAGAAGCAGATGGGGAAGAATTGATTATAGAAGTTAGTTGATATCACTCATGCCACGCCTTTAAGATCACAAGGCCACCTTTACATTCCTCATTCTGGGCTTCGGCAGATCCCCATTGAAGCTGATCAGTGCCTTGCTAGAAATCCTTTTCCAAAACATCTCAAATTTCCCAGACACTATTAGTTCTTCTTCATTCATTTCATTAAAGAAGCTTCTGTTTCAGACTGGTTTGGAGGAAGGAAACACATCACAGAGGGTCCAGGAATAATCAGAGGGAAACCAGAAACTCAAGACGCAGGGGTTGCCTATAGCTCAAAACGTTTAGCCCGAGAGCAGAATTTGAGTGGACTTCCAAAAGCCACCCTCTGGGAGGAAACAGAATCAGAACCAAGGTTTGGATCAGGACAAAAACATGAAATTTGATTTCATTTAATGCGATATGTAACTAAAAATCAAACAAGTTCACTACAGTTGATATAACTAAGTCAAGTCACTTCCTAGTTGAGTTCAGCTTCTGACTTGGACACCCACAGCTATATATAGTAGAAGTGGTCTGCCATTGCTATATATAATCATTTTCTTCTTTTGCCACATTAAAAGTTACAATTTGATGACAATTTCTGGAAAGACTCTTGGGGCCATTTCCCAGGTTTTCAGGGTCCCTGTGCCATTCTTGGAGCCAGGATGATTACCCCAGGTCTGCAGGGAGGGGTAAAAAAAAAAATTCAAGATGGCAGCCACAACTCCACAATCAAAGCTCCACCCTTTTAAAATATGCGATGCATATAAATAAGGGATGGGGCTTCAATCATATGATTGTGGTTGCCATCTAGACTTTTTTTTACTGCTTCCCTGCAGACATCCCTGTCCTGGGATAAAGAGAGTTTTGTAGAAAACAAGAACAACTTGGAAGAGATAAGAACACAAGAGCCTTCTAAACCTACCCAGATGTTCATCTAGTCCAGTGTTTCTCAACCTTGGCAATTTTAGGATGTGTGGACTTCAACTCCCAGGATTCCCCAGCCAGTGTGGCTGGTTGGGGAATTCTGGGAGTTGACATTTACCCATCTTAAGGTTGCCAAGGTTGAGAAACACCGATCTAGTCCAATCTCTTATTTCCCACAGTAGCCAATCAGAGGCTTGGTATAAGATAAAATATCGATTATTCTAGATCCTTTTGAACACCATTGGCTGAAACCCTATCTTGTGGCAGCGAATTCCACCGGTTAATGATAGCGTGCATTGGTTTCATTAGCTCAAAGCCAATCCACTAATTTGAAAGGACCAGTAGACAGAGAGTTTTCTTCGAGAGCTTAATGAAAGTAGAGAGAGGAACTTTTTACATGAAATAGGAACTACATATTCCAGAATGAGATGCGTAAAGAGAGCCTGGAAGGCCAAAAAACATTTTAGGAAGTTGGTTCATACAATTTTAGGTTCTTGGTTTCTAAACCTTTTGTCACGCTCAAGCAAATCCTGGATGCTCTTACTTGTGTATTGAGAAACCATGGCTCACTTAGTCGTCCTGTGCAATTCTTCATAGCCAGACCTTGCTTGCAGCAGCTCATAGGAACAGTGTGGTTGCCTGTAGCATTGAACCATTGTGTACCTTTCCAGTCAGTATAGTTGTAGACACCACAGCACTGGAGCTGAAAGAGCAAGAATTGGGGTTGGAAGAGGCACAACCACAATTCAGTTCATTTGCCCTTGAGAGAGGGTTTATCTTACAAGCTCACCTTCTCCAACCTGATGCCGTCCAGATGTGCTAGGACCACAAGTCCCAAAATTCCCCAACCAGCATGTTCCCATACATCTGGACAGTGCCAGGTAGAGAATGCTCGATAAGAGCCATAATAATATATTAATCCCCTTGACAGAGATTACAAGAGTCTTAGGAAAACATCACAATCAGTTTCTGAAACAGACAATTGTGTGCTATGGAGGCCCCTGGCCAGATACAACATGATGGAGAACTTTTCAGAAAGAACAAGCTATTGGTCCTGATGCTTCACAATGAAAAGTAAAGACTGTTTCAACTTGACCTCCCCTTCTGATGTTTACATGGGCATAACTATGTGGTTTCTTGGCAGTAATACCTAAGTAGTTTTCCATTACCTTTTTCTTGCCTAGTTTTTTAACATAAAATCTTCTCAGCCTAGTTTACAGTTGTAGGATTCCCCAGTGTCTCTATCTAAGGACTAAACAAGCTTCATCCTTACTCATATCTGTTAAAGAACCCACTAGATTCTTCTTTATGTTTCTGCAAAAGACTAATCCATCTGGTGAAAAAAAACTCAGTATAGACACAGTGACCATACAACCTTTATTATAAAAGACAGTCCTTTATTTCAGAAAACTGTCCTTTAGATTTACTTATTTTTCAAAAATTCTCTTTTGTCCTTTAATTTGGTCATTTCACTTTTACTGTACCAATGGTACTACTTAATGCACAATCTTTTGCATTCATAAGAAAAAGATGGAAATGGAATTGTCTTTTAAAAATAAATTTACATATGCTGTTTGATTTTAGATATTATTATCGTATGCGTTTTTGTAAAGTTTTTCTTGGTTTTGCTCTTGAATTTTCCTTCGTCAAGCAAAGTTATAAACATAAACAATTAAAATGTTTTATCCTTATGAACCTCTTTCAGATTTGCTCCTTTTTTCGGTTTCTCCTTTATTTTTTCCAAGAAAATATGCTCACCATATTAGTGCTTCGTTTGCAATAAACTGGTATAATTTGAAAATCTGTATTTTCTTTGAAAGGACTGCACGTGAGTTTGCTGCTTAAACTATTGGCTCAAATTAATTTAATTTGAGAGCCCTCTGTTGTTCCTCCTCCTCTTCTTCTGTTTCACATCTACATGGTCTAAAGGGAGAATTGTGGCCCTAATGTCCAGTGGCCTCTCTTCACAATATTTGAGTAAGCTAGATGAAACAATGAGCCTTTGATACAGATTTATAGAAAGACCACTATGATATGCAAAGATGCTTTGGGGCAGCCTTGCGTCTT